AACAAATAAGAGAATTAAAGAAAGGGAAAGAGTTAATTTTTGAATGAGGATTCAGAAGTTTCCCTTTTTAAAAAATGAGATACCCCATAAACAATACCAACACTTTAGCTACTTGTTAATTAAGCCATTGAACTTTCCTTTGAGATCCTAGAATCTGAAAAAATAATTAGCTTTGCAAGGCCATTAGTGAAGGAGAAAAGCTTATATTGCCTAGAAACCAGATCAAGAATGATTCAGAAATCTGTGCTTTTTGCACGTGGCATTATTGAAGTGAATTGTAAAAATAAAATGATCTGGACACTTGTATGTTATACAAAACGAAAACAAAAAAAACTGCTCAGCAACTTACTAGGGAAAACGTATTAGTTATCCTCTGTATTCATTTTCTACTGGTATAACATATCACCACAAACTTACGGCATACCATACACAAATATATTATTTTATAGTTCTCAAGTTAGAAGTCCAAAATCAGTCCCACTGGATGACAGTCAGGGTGTTGGCAGGGCTTCATTCCGCCTGGAGGATCTAGAAGAGAATAGGTTTCCTTGTGTTTACCCAGCTTGTAGAGATTTTCTGCATTCCTAGACTCATGGCCGCTTCCTCCCTCCATCAGCACATCTCCTTCTCTTCTGACCTTCCAGTATCCTTCTTATAAGGATTTGTGATTACTTTGGGCCTGTTCAGATAATCCAAGATAGTCTTCTCATCTCAAGACCCTTAATCACATCTTCTAAAGATCTTTTGCACTATAAGTTAATACATTCACAGGTTCAGGGGATTTGGATTTGGACTTCAGTAAAAGGCTATTATTCAGTCCACCACATCCCCAGTTGCTTCACTCAACTGTTTAAACAGCAAGTACATAAATCTTAATGGAATAAAGGCTAATTTTAAAATTTATTAAAAAACTTTTTTTTTTTTTAAATTTTTGTGGGAAAATGGGTCCGTCAATAGAGAACTGATTATGTTCAGGAAGAAAATATATGCTGTTTATGCAAATATTATTTATATCAAGGCTTACTTGTTTCTAATCCTTAAAACAGATTAAAAGTATCAAAAAAGACATGACCAAAGCAGGAAATAGTGAGGCACTGCTTCCCATGTTTATTTTATTTCATTTAAAAAATATTTAATTGACAAATAAAAGCTGCATCTATTCAAGGTGCACAACATGGTAAATCAAGAACATCCACAACCATTACAGATGAATATTGTGGTATTGCCAGTGTGAAGATCTGCGTTATCCTTGAAAAGAAGGAAATGAAACTGGTACTAAACTAGAATATCATTTTGGAAAATTGGACAGGCAATTACACCAGAGGAAAATTTGTATTGTGGTAAAGTACTTTTTGTTCCCATGAGGGAAATTAACATTTAAATGGCTACCATTAAGCAATCTCACAAAAATGAAGATGAAGTAGCATAGAACACCTGAGTGAATACTTTTTACTTTTGCCATTCTATTACCTGCAGGAATAAGTTTATAGTTGTCAGAACAAATCTTTACTATGAACTGCCTTGAGCCACAGTGAAGAGAGAGGAATCATTTGTATTTGGGAATCATCATTTGGGAATAGTGGCTGGAATTGAGGATACGTAAAAGAAAAAGCTAGAGATGGAACTTGAAGCCGTAACATGGGGCCTATAAATACTAGACTAGGAAAGAATTCTTAGTTCAGTAGGAAATGGTGGGGTGGTGACTGGGGATTTTAAGCAAGATTGGGATATTTTAGGAAGATTCATATGACCTTCTTTTAGAGGCAGATTGATTAGGAAAATAAGTTAATGAAAAAGTGAGCAAATTGTAGCTGAGATAATGCTGGAAGAAGGGAAGGAACAGATTTGAGGCTGTGCAAAGGAAGCACCTTTGTGATTTATCAGCTGATTAGCTGTGGGTCAAAAGGAAAGTGGTGGTTCCAAAGTTCAAGCTTTTGTAACTGATGATGGCATTATCAAGAAGTGATATGTCACGAAGAGAAACATTTGTATGGTTGAGGTGAGGCAGGTGAAGGTTCAGTTTGGAAGATATTGAGTGTAGGGTGACTGCAGACATGACAATGGTGATGTCAAGTGAGCTAGACAGAAAACTCAGGAAGACAGGTCAAGGTTAGAAAGAAAATATGAATCAACTACTTAGAGGTTATATGCTTATGTGACTGAACATGAGAGTGGCAGTAAGGTCGACTCTTATTCATTATATCGTTAAATAGTTTTTTTGTACATCGGTCATTTTGCCACTGCCACTGTGTTAAAATAGAATGAAAAAGACATTCTTGAGGCATTATTATTTAAAGACAGTTTTTGGCTGGGCGCGGTGGCTCACGCCTGTAATCCCAGCACTTTGAGAGGCCGAGGCAGGTGGATCATGGGGTCAGGAGATCGAGACCATCCTGGCTAACACGGTGAAACCCCGTCTCTATTAAAAACACAAAAAATTAGCTAGGCGTGGTGGCGGGCATCTGTAGTCCCAGCTACTTGGGAGGCTGAGGCAGGAGAATGGCGTGAACCCGGCAGGCGGAACTTGCAGTGAGTCAGGATCGCGCCACTGCACTCCAGCCTGGGCGACAGAGCAAGACTCAGTCTTAAAAAAAAGAAAAAAGACAGTTTTTAAGATTATTTCAGAAATACTGAGAAACCCAAAGATTGTTGATTCCTGCTACACTGAACTGTAATTCTCTGCAAATCAAGCTGCATACTGTATGGTACATAACTATTATGAGGGAAGTGTAAGAGAGGGAATTTAAATTAATGACTGAGAGCATTTGAGATCATTCCAGGATCACCTTTCCATGAGTCCATATATTTTCTCAAGATTTGGGGATTTACTCAACATATTCCTGACGGTTTGCAAGTTTGCAAAATTATAACACAAAGGACTGTATTATCAACTAGCACTTTCCTTAGCTCTATAGTGTTCTGTACATCATTAAACGTGCAACAAATGATGTTTCCTTGCCTAAAGTGGATATTTTCTCTCTTTGCGTTTACTGAATTATTTTTTTTATGCCTTCAGCCTACTTTGAGAAATGAAGATTTACTGGAGGAATTTCTCTCTGTTCTCAGGGCCAAGAATATGTGATTCTCATGAGCATGGTTTATTATTTTATGACCCAAATATTGAATATTATATAGCTTTACACTATGTATATCTCTTTGCATTGGCTACAGAAAAGCATATAGACAAATTTTTGCCCACTTTTATAAATTTTAAAGCTTGAAAATATGTGATTTGGATAATAATTTAAATTTGAATTCCTGGCTTCATTCTTCTTATATACTTTTCCTCCTGGTCTGCAATTCTTTTTTGTTATTTTTCTGTTTAAAAATAAAATTATCTTTTTAATACACATTTTTGTAAACCACTTAGAATTGTATGTGGAACCAGTTATGTATATGTCTGCATTTTCATTATATCTGCATATAGGCACATGAACACTGGAAATACGGGGATGATGTATTGGTTTCCTATTGCTGCTGTAACAGGGTACCACAAGCTTAATGGCTTAAAAAAACACAAATGTATAGTTGTTCCCCCTTATCCATGGTTGCACTTTCTATAGTTTCAGTTACCTGTGGTCCACCATGGTTAAAAAATTGTAAATGGAAAATTCCAGAAATAATTCATACATTTAAAATTGCATCCCATTCTGAGTAGTGTGATGAAATCTCACATTGTTCCACTCCATCCTGTCTAGGACATGAGTCATCCCTTTGTCCATACTATTCACACTGCATATGCTACCCTCCTGTTAGTAATATAGTGGCCACCTTGGATATCAGATCAACTGTCCCAATATCGCAGTGCTTGCATTTGAGTAACTCTTATTTGACTTAATAATCTAATGGTGCCAAAGCACAAGAGTATTGATGCTGACATATTGATATAATTGTTCTATTTTATTATTATTGTTCATCTCTTACTACGCTCAACTTATAAATTAAACTTTATCATCGATATGTATAGGAAAAATATAGTACAGCCAGCCTCTGTATTTGTGCATTCCACATCCATGACTCCAACCAACCATGAATTGAAAATATCCAGAAAAACATGCATCTGCACTGAACATGTACAGACTTTTTACCCTTATTATTATTCTCTAAACAATACCATATAACAACTATTTGCATAGCATTTACATTGTATTAGGTATTATAAGTAATCTAGAGATAATTTAAAGTATACAGGAGGGTCTACATAGGTTATATGTGAATACTATGCCATTTTATACCAGGGACTTGAGCTTGTACAGATTTTAGTGTCCATGGAAGGTACTGGAACCAATTTCCATGGATACTGAGGAATAGCTCTGTTTCTTCAGGTTTTGGAATCAACCTAATTTTGGAACAGGACCTGGGATTGACAGAAGCAGTCTTCATCACTTCTTCTTTTGAGGCAGCCTAGAGATCTACAGGCCTCAGTTGGAATGCCAACTTAGGTCATAGGGTGCAACAGATAGTAGGGTATCAGGCCAAGTAAGTGGGCAGCTCTAGGAAGTGTATAGTGTCTTTTTTTTTGGCTGTGGCTTAGCTGAACATTCTTACCTGACCCCAAATCCAGGCTGGTTCATTGGAAAAAGATTAAGGATCTTCTTAATGAAGGCCCTCTTCAGGCCTGTTTGAATTTAGCAGCTCATATAGGAGGGGAGTATTAATTAATGAAAGGGCAATGTCCGCAGGAATAGCACTGCCAAATAAAACAATTACCTGGCTTTCTGGGGCATCAGAAGTCATCACAGCAAGATATCATTGTACAAATTGGTGACCAGGAGTCGCAATCCTACTTTTGCCCTTGGCTGGCTGCATGCATTAGGGAAGATTTTACCTTGGCATGTAGGCTCCTGGGTCAAAAAAGACAGTGATGCTATTTGCTTGTTTTAGAGGCCCACTGGGAAATGTTTGTTACAGATTATCACAATGTGTTACTGATAATATATTACTGAATATATTACAATATGTTACTGATAATATATTACTGAATATATTGGTGTGGCAGTTTGTACTTAAAAAGATAAATGCTCAAGCTTATGTTTAATAAGAAAATGTGATTAGAATCTTTATTGACCCTAACTTTCGTGAGACACATACAGACACATGCTAATCCCTCATTGATACCAAAGGATGACTCTCTAGATAGGGTTTGGTACTATCCATGGTTTCAGGCATCCACTGGGGGGTCTTGGATCATATTTCCCTCAGATAAGGGAAAACTACTGTATTATGTTATGTTCTTGGGGTTAGCTATCTAAAATGAATCTATTAGGCTGCATTCGTTCTGGAGGTTCCAGGAAGAATCTCCTGTCTTGTGCTTTCCAGTGTCCAGAAGCTGCCTGCATCCTTTGGTTCATGGCCTCTTCCTCTATCCTCAAACCCAGCATCTTCTGTCTTTAACTTTCTGTCTCCCGTTTATAAAAACTTATGTGATTACATGGAGCCCGCTCAGAAAATCCAGAATAACTCCCCGTCTCAAGATCCTTAACTAAATTATATCTGCAAATTTCCTTCTCCCAAATAAGACCACATATTCGTAGGTTCCAGGAAATAGGATGTGGACATCATTGGGGTATTTTTCAACCTGCAACAGATAATAACTTCTTCTCTAAGAGAACTGGCTCAACTTAACATTAGTTAAGCTAATACAGTTGATCATTCATTCATTTAGTTGGCACACTTACCAGACTGTTATTGAGTATCTACTATGAGCTAGGCATTCCTCTAGGAGCTCAGAAAATGGGAATACCATAGTGAATACATTCACTAAGTTCCCTGTTCTCTCAGGGCTTAGATTCTAAGTATAAATAAAATCCCAGGCATATGGAAAAAACATAGATACAGAAGGTGTTCGCCTTTCAGAGATGGAAGCATAGTTCAATGTGGCAGTAGCATAGAATACAAAGGAATTAAGTTATTGTGAGCTATGCTAGAAAAGTTATACTTAAAATGCAGGAAATAATTTTAAAAGAAAAGCAGGTGACATGATTAGATATGTAATTTATGAAGATGCCTGTGACTGAAATGTGAATTAGAGGGAAACAAGACTGGAATTAGAAAGACCAATTAGGACATGCTGCTTTAATCCAGGTGATAAGTGATGACAGTCTGAATTAGGTTAATAGCATTGGATGCTATTGGAGGCAGGAAGTACAATAATTTAAGGCAGCACAAAGAAGTTGAGAAATATCATGGCATTTGTAGAGTGACCTGTGGAGTCAAAGTTGATAGGAAAGAGTGAAAGACAAAAGGGGTAAAAGACAAATACCCAAACAACACATAGTTTGGCTCATCATTTAGATACACTAGCATCCTTTCTAGTCACTACTGTATTATTTTGTATTCTTCAGTTTATGAAGCCTTAGACTTAGGCCATTGAAAATTTATGAGCTAAGTCCCTGAATAGACTTGCTAAAGTTTTATTTGGTTTATTAGCTCAGTTTGTTCTACATTTCCTTCTCTAGGAACAGATTAGCAACAGTTGCTTCTAAATGTCTCCCATTTTAGGTATAATTAATAAAAATATTAACCACTAATTTTGTTATGACTGATTATGGCTTGTGAGTCCTGTTGCTATCTGTGCTGCCCTTTGTTCTATAGCCGTCTCTAATTCTGACTCTCTGTGTGTGTGTGTGTGTGTGTGTGTCTCTCTCTCTCTCTCTCTCTCACACACACACACACACACACATGCAAAGTTAATTCTTAGAGCCAGCTCTCTTAATCAAATGGGGGTAAAAGAGAGGACAGACTCATCAATAACTAATTTTGAAATAAATTTATAAGTAGCAGGGTCTTCTCTTGACCCATCCAGTTGTCCAGCCCCTTGACCACTAACACAGTCCCTTGGAGGAGGGTAGAAGCCTTTGCCTATTTAATAACATCTCCCCAACAATGCTACCAATTTTGATACAAGCCCAATTACCCTCAAATAGAGTTGAAAAAAAGAAAAATTTTCCATTTTAAACCTCGAAGTGATTTCACTCAGTGACCTAGAGCTCAAGGACTTTTTCCTTTGCTAAGAATTCCAACCACCCAGCTCCCCAGTGAATAATAAAGACAATGTAATCATCTGTGTTTCTTTTAGTGGTTAATTGGGAACAGGATCATTTTATCCATCTTCATGAGTTGAAGCCCTTCTAGAAATGATTGTGGTTTGTTTTGCCCACCCACGAGATACCAAAATAACCTGCTATCTTCGCAAAATGTGCATCTATTCCCCCAAATCATATTTTATGCCAAGTTTTAAAAGAGAGGGAACCATGCCAGAATTCATTTTCAACCAAGTTTTATTTTCTATTTCTAGTGCTAGTGCATGGTAGACAGCTGGAGGATAGTTCCATTTAAGTTGATTTCTTCCTTGACACTGTTTCTTTTCAGATATGAATTAGCTAGAATAGTGCTAAAAATGAAGGTAACTAATTGTGGACTAAAAACAACAACAGAAGTAATTGCAAGTAAAGAAACCCAGTAAACATTTCAGTGATAATTTGCTTGGTGGGGGAGTGGACATTTTTTTTGCTTGTGCTTAGGAACTATTAATTATATGAATGTTAGCAAATCGCACCTAATAAATTTTGGCCTATATGAATGTGGCATAAAGTGAGACACAAGGCAAAAAACAAGAAGACCCAATCCACCTAGAGAGAATGTAGCTTAATATTGGCATAAATTGCATTTAATATAATGAGCCTAATCTAAATGTTAGTGCAGTTGATCCTACATGTAAGATGCACTCAAAATATACTACAGAAATAATATGACTTGGCATTTAGATACACTAGTATCCTTTCTAGTCACTACTGTATTATTTTGTATTCTTCAGTTTATGAAGCCTTGGACTTAGACCATCAAAAATTTGTAAGCTAAGTCCCTGAATGTACTTGCTAAAATTTTATTTGGTTTATTCCACATTTCCTTCTCTATCAACCTCCATTAACCATCTTAGACACTAGATGAATATGATATTTCCAACATATGAACTACTTTAATTAATTCTGGTAAATGCTTTAGAGAGGCCAAAATGTTTATTTCTATATAATACCAAAAATCATTTTACTTGGTGCCAAGAGGTATGGATATTTAATAACCTGTTTATTGTTCTCATGGTTTCTCCAGAACACCCATAAAGAAGGAATCTCATAAAGATGTTATTGACTTCATTGACTTTTCCCCACTCACTTCTTTTCCATCTTCTACATATGAGATGCTCCTCATAGCTCAAGTCTGGCTGGCTGAAGGTATTTGACCCAAGAGCATGTTGTTTATGGCAGCCATGTGTACCCTGGCATAATCTTACCTCTCCCTGACTTACTCTTTAATGTAAGTAGTAGCATTTCCAGGACCCGGAATAGGTCAAAGACAACTCTAAATTTCATACTTAAATTTTTGACAATGAGTTGACCTCTATGAGATCTGTAGACAATCTTCTCTTCTGATTCTATTCAGGGCACAGTCTATGCCACTTTTTGAAAGCCAACCGTTTTATGCCACTAAATTATGAAGCCTTTACATAAAGTAACAATCCATTCAAAAGGTTTAGTTCCTCAACTCTCCTAAGAACATGTCATTTCTACTGTCTTCTCAGGCCATAGATTCTACAGAAAGATCAGGAAAGACTTGTTTTCTATATCACTTTGCAATCCATTTTAATTACTTTGTGTGATTTATTGATTTTTCTTTGGCCTTTGAATCTGTGAGTAGGAGTTGATTACAGATTAAACTCTATAAGGATATTGCGTATCTTTGATTATTAATACTGACACCTTAATACTAATTAGAAAATCAGTAGAAATGGTCTCTTGATGGATCCAGTAGTGATTTTTGTGAAGTCAAACATGTATTTGATTTGATTTTGCCTTTTTTGTAATTTTTACCTTAATAATTTAACACCTGGTAGTGAGTTGGATATACATCCTCCATAATAGGGACTAGAAATAGCTAACATTTGTTGACCTTTTACTCTGTGCCAGGTATTAGGCTAAGCATTCTACAAAGTTTATTCTCATTTAATCCCCACAGAAGCTCTATGAAGTTGATGCCATTTTTATTTCCATTTTTCCCAATAGAAAGGTGAAGCCTAGAGAGATAGAAGTAACTTTTCACAGGTAGCATGGCTACTATGAGACGAGACCAGAATTCAAGTCAGAAAATCTGACTCCAGAACCTGAACTCTTAATCATTACTATATACTACCTCTTATGCGAAGATAATATTGTTTTCTTAATTTAGATTTGGTATGGACAATTTATTCTGCTCCCTAGTGCCAACACAGTATTTCACAACAGACAATAAAAGTGAAGGTAATTTTCACAATGAGTTCCTAACATTTAACTGGCTTAGGGATGAGATCCTACAGCAATTTAAATATTTCAGTTATGTAGATGTCTATTTTGTAAACAGATAATTTAGAGAGCATCCCATGAAGTAATTCTGCTCAAGATAAGTTTATTTATTTATTTATTTATTTATTTATTTATTTTTACCATAGATATTTTGTTGAAGAAAAAAAAGTGTATGCCCTAGGTTAATTTCTGGTTGTGACCGTTTCAAGATTTGGATTGTGGGGGTTGTTAAAATCAGTGTTGCCGTGCCTGATGGTGAAGACAATAAGGCTTGATTATCCATTTCTCTAGTGGGAGAGCAGATGCAAAATTATTTCTTACAGAGAATCATGGCCTTTCCTCCTTCCATTCATTCTCTTGACACAAGTTAAGCGGGGTGGAAATGTCCTCTGTTCAGGCTGTTATTCCTGACAGCCTCCTCAACTTCTCCTCAAAGCCCTGAGAGGATACAACTCTTCTCCTTGTTCAGATGACTATTAAACTGCTTAGTGTTAAGTGGTGTAATAGACAAATTGCACTCCAGATCAATTTGTCTAATATTCTGTCACTCAATATTTAGCAAAAGCCCAGTGTGTGAAGCAATACTTAGGGGAGATATCTTGAAGTTTATATGGCTCACTAATTCCTCTCAAATGCTTTACAATTTATACCTAGAGTTATGCATACTGGCATCCATCCAAAATGCCTCCTCCTAAGAGAATGACTTTTAAAATTTATACCTTTCTCTAGAGGAAGAAATAAGATTATTGAGAAGCAACAGGAAAAGCTATATAGACCTGAATGACCCAGTTCTTGGCATTAAAAATAGGTGCTTCTAGTTAAGAATTCTATAGCCATTTGAGATGGTCTTAATGTTTTCTCATTTTAAAATATTAGTTTAAAAAGTAAAACAATGGTAACTGAATTCATTCCTGTTTCAGTTATTTATTACTGTGTAACAAACTATACCAAAACTAAGTGGCTTAAAATATTTTATTGCTTCTCATGGTTTCCTGTGTCAGAAAACTGGACAGGACACAGTGTGGAGAATTCATCTCTCTCCACATGATGTCTGCTGGAGTGAAATGTGCAAAATGGCTTCTGTACTCCCATGTCTGATACCTCAGCTGGGGTGGCTTAGACAGCTGGTGCTGGCTGGAATAACCTAACTGGGGTTGTATGTTTGGTGCCACAGATTTCTGTCAGCTGGATTCTTTAATTTTCCTCCATGCAGTCTCTAGGTCTTTCTGTCTCTCCGTATCTTTTCACATAGTCTCTCCAACAGGGCAATCCAGCTTCTTTCGCAGCAGCTTAGGCCTCTGGAAAGTAAAAAACTTGAAACTGTCAGGTCTACTTTCTGCTTAGACTAAGAAATGGCACAAGGTTCTTTGCTGCCTTTGTAGTTAAAGAAAAAAAAAAGCAGACTATAGAAAGGCATGAAAGATGAAGGAAGGATGTATAGTTAAGTGGAGATCATTAATATTTCTTCTTATTATAGTTCTGTTAGGTTATAATATAGTGAAATAACTAATAAGATTTGTAATAACAAATAAATCCAGTTGCCACATTTAAAAAGTGTAGCAATTGATCATAAGAGGCTATCATTGATGATAACTTACAGAAGATTTTCATGTTTTGTGATAAGTTGCTCTTAAGCCACTTTTATATCTGCTTATTACTAAGAACTATATATTTAAGTACCAAAAACCCACACATTATGATAGTTCACACAATTTCCAGTTTAAAAAAAAAAAAGGATAAATTGCTTTATTTCTTTCAAGCCACTAGTTCATTTTTAGAATGAGGTCCACAGTGCACCTACATCACAGTTTCCTGTAGGGCTACTAAAAGCACAGATTCCCACACCCACTCTTGTCTTACTGAATCTGGTCTTTAGGTGTGGGTGAGTGTATAATGAAATTTCTTCTGCATTTGTTCATAAGTGGGCTGAGTTTTCTTTCCCCAAATGGAGAAGAGATTAACAACTGGAGAGTGTTGGAGACATATAGATGGGGTGTCTGCTGGATAAATATTGGTTTAATTCACAGGAAATGAAAAGCCAAGGAAAGAAGCAAGAAAGGGAAGAAGAGATGTTTCTTTCTCAGCACTGACACAGACATAAGGAGAAACCAGCCAAAACACTTTTACAATCTTTAAATCCACTAATTAAAACATCTATTTGGAAGGAGAAAATGTGGGTAATTACCAGGCGTAATAGGCTGTCTGAGAGACACTGACTGGGACTGAGATGTAACAGCCTTGGTACAAAATGTCTTTTCAGGGAATATACATAATAATGTCATATTACTGAAAGCTTCTGGTAGGCAGGAAGCATGGCTTCATTGTGCACTGTACCTAGAACCCCGACATGCAATGAATACAAGTGGGTGTTTGATCTCAAAACATACTTTTTTTGCAGAATGCACTTTTGGACTAGAGTTTATCTATTTTCTGCTCACCTGTGATGTCACTGAAAAAATACACCAAATAAATCATATTTATACCATGATTCGATTAGTGTGTGGAACTGGTCTTCTTGTCCTTTAATCATAAGTGAATCTTCCATTCTTCCCTTCACAAAATGTGATTGTGTTCTGAAGATTCATGGACCCAAGCATATTTTAGACCAGGGGATCACAGTCTAGACTTCAGCTAAAGCAATAAAGTGATGCTTTTTCTTCAAGGTCAGAACACCCGAGGATGAGTAAGCCTGCCGCACAGTGGTTCTTTTCTGATACATCTGGCATGAAAATAGTTCCAGATGGTTGGACACTTAAAAGCCTGAAGTATGTATAGTCGCAGCAATGAAAGAATAAGGTTTTATATGCAATTTAAATAGATATTAAAATAAAGCCATGTCCCTTTTTATCTCAGTGTTTTATAAACTCAAAGTTTGGCTAATGGAATATTCACTGTTTGTTCAAATGTTTCAATAATGCATTTATTAAAAACAAAGAATTAGTATACTATTAACCAGAAATGCAAATACATATTTGCTAGGAAGAAAATAATGTTCAGGAAAAAAGAACAAAGAATAGACTGACCTCATATTTATAAATAAATCAGAAGGATAGGTAATGATATCTTTTGCCAGTAGTTGGGATTTTATTTTGATGTTAAGCATAAAGTTTAGCCAACTACCACCAAGACACATTAAATTTAAGTGGGAAAAACATTATGACAATTAGAATGTTACATTTTCTCTTGATCCTTTGACCCATATGCATCATTTTTACTGTGGTAAGAATTGAGGTGGTAATAGCACTTCATTCAAATAGAAGTAAGCATCAATATCCACCACCTCCACCCCCAGATAGTTCCCTATCAATGCCTGTGTTTGAGGATTCTTCTTGGGCCAACTTTTCTGGAATTGCTTTTCCATTTATATTCCTTTTTCAATTACTTTCTCCAAAATAAAGTATTTAGACAATGGTTGTAAGTCCTTGGCACCTAAAAATTTATAATCCTTTAGAGATTCAAACATAATTTGGCTGGGCGTGGTGGCTCACGCCTGTAATTCCAGCACTTTGGGAGGCCGAGGTGGGTGGATCAACTGAGGTCGGGAGTTCTTGACCAGCCTGACCAACAAGGAGAAACCCTGTCTCTACTAAAAATACAAAATTAGCCTGGCGTGTTGGCGCATGCCTGTAATCCCAGCTACTCGGGAGGCTGAGGCAGGAAAATCACTTGAACCCAGGAGGCAGAGGTTGCAGTGAGCCAAGATCCCACTATTGCACTCCAGCCTGGGCAACAAGAGTGAAACTCCATCTCAAAATATTTATATATATAATAAATATATATATTGTATTCATACAATTATATAAATTATATAAATATAATTAAGATAAATTTATAATTATATAAATTTAATTATGGAAATATAATTAAGAAATTGTATATATATATAAAATTTCTTAAAACTTTGCAATTCACCTAGACTAAGAATTTAAATTATATGGCCGGGCGCCGTGGCTCACGCCTGTAATCCCAGCACTTTGGGAGGCCGAGGCGGGCGGATCACGAGGGCAGGAGATCGAGACCATCCTGGCTAACACGGTGAAACCCCGTCTCTACTAAAAATGCAAAAAATTAGCCGGGCGAGGCGGCGGGCGCCTGTAGTCCCAGCTACTCGGGAGGCTGAGGCAGGAGAATGGCGTGAACCCGGGAGGCAGAGCTTGCAGTGAGCCGAGATCGCGCCACTGCACTCCAGCCTGGGCAACTAAAAAAAAAAAAAAAAAAGAATTTAAATTATAATATAACCTGGGAATAAACATTTTGGTTTCAAACTATGAGAAATAGGTCATAATATATCTTGTTTGATACAAACCATCACTTTTTTCTTCTTTTTACCCAAATGTAACAGAAAACTACAATATTTTATTTACTGTTCTTTGACTAAAATAGATACTAATTCAGCCAAGAGGTAGAGCTAAGAAATTGAAAAGTGACTCCAAGTGACTACTTCTATTCAGCAAAAGCTACCATAGATGGTCCAACATAAATCGCCCCACACATTCCTCTATTAGACTCTAAACCCTTGAGTACAGTACCTTTTCATATACATATGTCTCTGTAAACCCACTACCTAACCCAGTGACCAGAACATGCAGGGCTCAATAAATGTTTGCCTGATGGCATGCCAATTCTAGTCTATGCACAGGCAGAACCTCTGAATGAAAAGCCAGAGTCACAGGCATCTGGAGGCTTTCCTGGATGTGCTCAACACCCCAGTCCATCCCACTATCCCATAAGTTCCCATGTGTTCAATTTTTTAAATTTGTATTTTTTATTATACTTTAAGTTCTAGGGTATATATGCACAACATGCAGGTTTGATACATAGGTATACATGTGCCATGGTGGTTTGCTGCACCCATCAACTCATCATTGACATTAGGTATTTCTCTTAATGCTATCCTTCCCCCAACCTCCAACCCCCCAAGAGGCCCCGGTGTGTGATGTTCCCTGCCGTGTGTTCAAGTGATCTCATTGTTCAATTCCCACCTATGAGTGAGAACATGCAGTCTTTGGTTTTCTGTCCTTGTGATAGTTTGTTGAGAATAATGGTTTCCAGCTTCATACATGTCCATACAAAGGACATGAACTCATCCTTTTTTATGGCTGCATAGTATTTCATGGTGTATATATGCCACGTTTTCTTAATCCAGTCTATTATTGATGGACATTTGGGTTGGTTCCAAATCTTTGCTATTGAGAATACTGCCACAATAAACATACATGTGCATGTGTCTTTATAGTAGCATGATTTATAATCCTTTGGGTATATACTCAATAATGGGATTGCTGGGTCAAATGGTAATTTTAGTTCCAGATCCTTGAGGAATCACCACACTGTCTTCCACGATGCTTGAACTCATTTACACTCCCAGCAACAGTGCAAAAGCATTCCTGTTTCTCCACATCCTCTCCAGTATCTGTTGTTTCCTGGCTTTTTAGTGATTGCCATTCTAACTGGCGTGAGATGGTATCTCATTGTGATTTTGATTTGCATTTCTCTGATGACCAGTGATGATGAACATTTTTTCATGTGTCTGTTGGCTGCATAGATGTCTTCTTTTGAGAAGTGTCTTGTTCATATCCTTTGCCCACTTTTTGATGGAGTTGTTTGTTTTTCTCTTGTAAATTTGTTTGAGTTCTTTGTAGATTCTGGATATTAGCTCTTTGTCAGATGAGTAGATTGCAGAAATTTTCTACCATTCTGTAGGTTGCCTGTTCACTCTGATGGTAGTTTCTTTTGTCATGCAGAGGTTCTTTAGTTTAGTTAGTTCCCATTTGTCTATTTTGGCTTTTGTTGCCATTGCTTTTGGTGTTTTAGTCATGAAGTCCTTGCCCATCCCCTATGTCCTGAATGGTATTGCCTAGGTTTTCTTCTACGGTTTTTATGGTTTTAGGTCTAACATTTAAGTCTTTAATCCATCTTGAATTAATTTTTGTATAAGGTGTAAGGAAGGGATGCAGTTTCAGCTTTCTACATATGGCTAGCTAGTTTTCCCAGCAGCATTTATTAAATAGGGAATCCTTTCCCCATTTCTTGTTTTTGTCAGGTTTGTCAAAGATCATATGGTTGTAGATGTGTGGTGGTGTTTCTGAGGGCTCTGTTCTGTTCCATTGGTCTATATATCTGTTTTGGTACTGTACCATGCTGTTTTGGTTACTGTAGCCTTGTAGTATAGTTTGAAGTCAGGTAGCGTGATGCCTCCAGCTTTGTTCTTTTTGCTTAGGATTGTTTTGGCAACGCGGGCTCTTTTTTGGTTCCATATGAACTTTAAAGTAGTTTTTTCCAAATCTGTGAAGAAAGT